CCCAGGAGCATGCATTTTTCCATCCCCATCTATAATGCTGCAGTAGTTTGAGTCTATGTGCTCTGTATGACAAACAGCTAATACCTGGACATTTAAGAATAAGATTCTTTCTAAGTATTCAACCACAGAAATTCATCAGTGATATGCTCTGTTTTTTGATGGAAATGAAAGCAAATCCAATATATTTTGTTGCTGTTATGAATCAGACCAGACAAAATTTGAGCAATTTTTTCTTAAATTAAAAACAGACTGATCACTTTATTTTGTCACTGACACTGTCCAATTATTCCATTTCCATTTCCATCTGCCGTATCAACACCAACACAGTACACCACTGATTTGATTATTGCTATTAGCTGTGTTGACTAACTAACATTTTTAAAATCTTCAATCCTCTCTACTGGTAAATGCTTTTGAAAAATAATCTCGATTATTAACATTATTATCTTGGATTACTGTTGTGTAATTTAGTGGTTTATGTGTAAAGCACACCTCATTTTTGAGGGAGAAAGTTCACATGTTAGAGTTCCAAATCTGACAGTGGCATGTCAAATCTGTCAATGGAATGGTTATAATTTTGTGCTGAACAGGTCAAGGCTCAATTAGCTTTACAACACTTTAATTTCTGACCCTGAGCTTAAAATATGATTGTATTGTTTTTCAGTCTTCCATCTCAGCAACTGCAGCTCTAGTCTTGGTAATTAGACAGAAACAAAAAGCAACAGGAATTTGGAAGGCACTGAAGACAGCCAGAATATGCAGACATTTTTGGAAATGGATGCAAGTGAAGCATGACTATAAAAACTAACTGACCTTATTGCCATTCACTCTCTCTTCCCCATTTAAGCAGACCGTAAATTAACAGAAGCTAAAGCACAATTCTGTATATTCCAATTTATTTTAATTGGCAGACAGGATCAAATGCAAAGAACTTCAAAAATAAACTGCATTTGGGTTTAGATTTCCACTGTTCATTGGAATTTGAAGAGAAGTGCAATTACCCCTCTCTACCTGCATAGTTTTCTAACATTCAATATGGCTTAACTTGGTATTGTGTCCACTTTCACCAGGTGTTTTTTGATGGAAACACACCTGGTTGAAATGTAGGTCAAATAAAATCTGAAATTTTGGGATGCAAACTCCATTATTTATTGTTAGCTCAAGTTATGCTGTGCCCTGAGAAGGCAGAGCAGGAGGCAATCATAGCTTACTGCCTAAAAATCAGATACTGGAATAGGAAGCAGTGAAAGAACAGAACAGCAAAGCAGTGATATAATCTTTATCCTAATGACATGATTTTTTAGTACATAATTCTGGGTGGATTTTTGTTTCTTTAACTTAAAAATCTGATTGGCAAATGTTAGGCACTGTTCATAACTGAGAATGTGAGAAGATTACTTGCTTTTAAATATTGTTTTAAAATATGATGTTCTAAAATTATCTATTACTAAAATGGAGATATTCTAAAGGTGCAAATATACGTTACCCCTTCTTTCTTGTTGTCTTTCTTCATTGTTCACATCTGTTGCCTGATAGCAATGAACTGAATGTAGCTTTCTGTTCACAAGGTTCCTTAGTGCCTTCTAGTGCATTAACATTATTCATCAGGTTGCTCAATGCAACATGATATCTTGAGACTCAAGGAAGTCTCAGATAATTTTTTTTCCTGCAGAGTCCCATTTCTTAAACCAAGACACATTCTCTCTGTTTTCATTTATTTACACTTTGATATGTGAGCATCCACATTTAATACTCTAAGTGCATCTTCGTTGACCTCATCACAAAAGACATCACATAGTCACATAGTAGCATAGTAGAACTCTTGTTTCATACCTCTTGCCAATCCTGTGTCCATTTTGGATAAAGAGAGAAGGATACTTCCTAGAAGAGACAGCTGAACATTCATACATTAGATAGCTGTATTGGAAAGTGAAGTTAGAAATACAATGAACTTACAAATATTAGAATGGAAGAGAGCCATAAAATTATTTAAACTGGTGAAATAACAAAACTGAAGCACTGAAAACTGAAGGAGTATTGTCCACTGACTCATGATATATTTTACATTTTTACACATTTTTTACAGCTTCTAAAGCAGGGCCAAAGAACACAATGGGCTTAGCGTATGCAATCAAAATCGCATATTCAGAGTAGCTTTTAAAAGAAGAAATTACAACTTCCATCTTGCATTAGTCCATATCTTCAGGAATATATAAGTGGTGTGCTGAAATCACTCTCCAGGGAAGAGAAGGGGATCCTTCAGTTCAAATCACCATCTTTTCTGTCTCTTCAGAGAAAAACAAACAAACAACAAAAAACAACAAAATGGGAAAGTCTGCTGACAACTGTACTACTACTTTTTTTTTTTTAAAGAAAAAGACAACTTATGAGATGGTACATGTTTTAGTCAACAGCATTATTATATGTGAATATACAGCAGTTCAGGATTCATCCCCATGAATTACCTTCTGAGTAAAATACTTTTTCCTCTAAATTTAAATCTAAGTTTCCCCTCTTTTAGTTTAAAACACTTTCTCCTTGTACTGTAACGATCAGACCATGGAAAAAGTTAGTATCCTTCCTGTTTATAAGCTTCCTTTAAACACTGTAGGGCCTCAGTGAAGTCTTCCACAGCTTTCTCTTCTCCAGGCTCAATAAGCTGGCTTCCTCAGTCTTTCTTTGCAGGAGAGGTGCTCCAAACCTCTAAGCATTTTTGTGTCCTTCCTCTGGACTCACTCCAACAGCTCCAGGTCTTTCCTATGATGGGAGCTCAGGAAGCAGTACTGCAGGTGGGGCCTCACAAGGGCAGAACAGATGGGGACAATCCCCTCCCTCAGTCTGCTGGCTACCTGTCTTTTGATATAGCCCAGGATACTGCTGGCCTTCTCTGCTGCAAGCGTTGGCTCATGCCCAGCTTTTCATCCACTGGAACCCCCAAGTCCTTCTCCGTGGGGCTGCTGTCAAGGAGTTCTTCCAGTCTACAGTCATATCTAGGGTTGCCCCAACCCAAGTGCAACAGCCTGCACTTGGCCTTCTGGAACATCATTAGGTTCACATGGGCCCGCTTCTCAAGCTCATCCAAGTCTCTGTTTCAGTGCAAGTGATTACAACATAAGGAAGCATTAATTCCTGAAGAAGGTCTTAATTACTGACTGAAGATCAAAGACACTCTTGTGAGGTCTGGAGCTGGATGATGGCTTGACATAGTATCTCTGGAATTCCTCCCATTGAGGTTGAGACCCTTTTTGGATGAAACATGTCAGCAGTAAATATAAGGTCAGATCCTTGTATTTCATATTTCTATAATTAGTTCTCTTTCAAATAAAAGTAAATGGCTCTAGCTACATTATACTTCCTGCTAATGTTGATGGACTTGATTCTGATTTCAAGAGGATATTTATCGGAAGTTAAACATTGTGCAGTATATGTGCTGTTTCTCTAGTGTCAGTCTTGCATTTGTGCAGTGCTCCTCTGAAACCACTCAGTTCAACATTGTGCAGCTATAAATTAAGCACCGAATGGTGCTTTTCCCACAGCACACCACTGCCAGGTTGCTGAAGTAGTTAATTATATTGCAGGTCCCTAAAAACCCTGCTGCACCAGCAAGGAAGTCTCTTTAATTTCACTGGAACATTTCTGAGAGCAAAGATATACCTTGTTATGAAATGTTGCTTTTTATCTATTTGTACAATCTATTCTGTTTAATAGCTATTTGCAGTTAAGAAAACATATTTAGCTTTCTTGTGTTAAAAAAAAAAAAAATCCACAGTATTTAATTTTCTCAGGAAGTTAATGTTTCTGGGACACATTTCTCTGTACTGAATCAATTGCTCCTAATTTCTAGGCACTTTTTTTTTTAATTCATGAGACTGGGCTTCCCAGGTTCCCATCCAGCCTAGTCTTGAATTTCTCCAGGGATGGGTCATCTGCACTTCCTCAGCAACCTGCGCCAGTGCCTCACTGCTCAAAATAAGAAGTTTCCTTCTAAAATCTAACCTAAATCTCCTCTTTTTAAGTTTTTAAAACCATTCCCCTTGTCCCTTGACCATGTAAAAAGTCTCCTGTTTATGAGCTCTCTTTAAGCACTAGAATGCCACAAGGAAGTTTCTCTGGGACTTTCTATTCTCCAGGCTGAACAAGCACAGCTCTCTCGGACTATTTTAATAGGACAGGTGCTCCAGATCTCTGATCACCCTTGTGCCCTTTTCTGGACCCACATCTGCTACTGGGTTCGTGAGCAGCTTACTACTTTGCACAGTATGAGTGGGAAACACAATCAGACCCGCACCTCCTTGCACGAGTTACAGCATTTCTCACAGTAATGGCTTCCCCATCCAACTGGATGATCTCCGATTGCCATGTAGTGCTATCAGCTCTGGACAAAGAGCTCATTTTCAGCCTTCCCATTGTTGATCCAGGCTGTACATCATATATGCACATTTAGGTAGCTGCATCAGTTACATGGCTACATGTGCAGGCCAGGATTGGAAGCCTGACTGTGTGAGCTCAGATATTGTTCAGATCCCACTTTCCAGTTTTCTACCGCTCCAAATAAAGGCCAGCCAGTGAAAGACTCTCAGCCTTGGCTGCCTGCAACCCTCTAGGAATTTTTTCTGCTTTCATAGAAGCTCTAATTTGTTGTACTGAAGGGCTTCGAAGAATAGAACTTCTGGCCTCCCTTCTTGTGAGACAGAAGCAGGGCCCGTGTCTGCCAACTTTTATGGGACCTGGACTGCTTCTTATTCAAAGTTCTTCACAGTAGGCTTTCCTGCTTCAGCTGGAGTTTGTCAGTGTTGTAACTATAAAACTGTAGTCAGAGACTCACTGCATGTGAATGCCGGAAAAGGATCTATGCAAGATATGCCTTTGGATGTACACACTTTGACTGCTGGGCATTGGTGGTAGATTCTGAATTGGTCTGGGCAAAACTAAGAGAGTAGAAATCTCTACAGGGATTTCAAGCCTTGTGTTTGTGAATAGGGTCAGCATTCATTAGAGCTACTTCACTTTGGGCCCTCACTTTACATAGGTATTGAGATATTTATGACATCACAGATCTGGGTCAGCAGGGTTGCACAAGAGACATCAGGCTGGGTACTGGAGCAGAGTGAGGGGTAAAGAATTTCACTGTTTTATCTTCCAGTGTCTATCCAGACAGAGTAACGTCAATGAATAGCTACAGTAATTAAATTAGCTTAATGCTTGTGATATAGAACTAACTTTCCTGGGAGATCTTCTAGATATGTCTGTGTAGTAGATTAAACAGTGCTGGGCACCGGGTCCTGTGCTGTTAAATTACTAAAATGATACCAAGTTTGAATTTTTGCCCAGGTTAGCCCTTGCAAATGCTGTGTGGTTTGGGAGTTAGGACAAGAGCATGCTCACTCACATGGTATCAGTGTGGATTTGATGGTACAGACTCATAATTTCATAACAGCTGCCTTAGCTTAGAGACTGGTACATTAGACTGCGCATTTATGTAGTCCACATCAAAAGTTCTGTGGAGCTGTATTCTCAGACCTAAAACAGGTGTGCAGAGGACAGGTGAATACCTGGGGCATAACAATGAGGAAGGTCTGAAGCGACTGAGTCATTGGATGTCTCTGAATTTTAGTTATCTACAGATATATAAGACTGATATGCAATACGATATGTAGAAGCAGTAATTCTTAATGTCATATGTGCATACAAATACATACATGAAGAATGATTAAATATTTTTTTCTCCCTTTTGCCTTAGTATTCTTCAAAATTCCCAAATGCTTGAGAAAGTGGAAGAAGCATGGTTAAGATTTATTTTTATTGTAATCACTGAAAGCCAAAACTAACTTAGCAGAGGAAAGCTTAATGACCCTGGAGGGAGTCCTAGAATATTGTTTTATTTGCTTTAGCAAATAATCCTTGCTGCAAACATGGAGTTTGCAGGCTGCACTGAACAAACATGGGGTAGCCCTGTGTGGTCATGAACACATTCAGTGCAGAAAGGTAGTTAACTTTTGTAGGTTATCTTTGGGGAGCACTGAAGTTGTTAATTCCAAGGGGCTAGGGAACTAAGTCTGTTTTATTTTAACGCTTTTGGCCATTGCTGAGAAATAAGCCACTTTCTTTCTGTTTTTAAGAGACACACTAAAACTGTTTTGCACCACAAATTGTTCTGAGCTGAGGTAGTTGCCAGCCAGATGCAGGCATCATGTGAGGGGATGAGAGCCTCAGGAATGTAACCCAATGGCTCTACAGTTGGAAACAGGAATAGCCTGCTCATGATGAGCAGGTGTGCAGTGTTTGGGATGCAGCTATTTCACACAAATGTCCGTCTCTTAGAAATGTTCTATCTTCCTTATTTCTCCTTTTAGTTTGATTTGCCTGTATTGGCTTTACTGCCTGGGGAGTCCTAAGACAGCAAGTGTTTTGCCGTTAGTTGCTATGATGCAAGTGAAAATTTTATTTGATCTCTATTTTGGATAATGAAGGCATCACCTGGACCCCAAACTATTCTGCCAAGTTATCACCCACAACTTGTACCTGTATTATGAGCTGTATGAATGCTTAATCCTAACAATTGCTAGTGTGATCATAAATCAGAAATGTATCAGTCACTACAGAGTTTAGGCAGTTTGTGTAGATGTTTTTGTGTCTCTGGATTCTAGCAAAATGGATCCCTTAAGTCACACAAGTTCCTGTGTTCAGAAGTACTTAAACAACTGTATCCCATTGATTTTATCATCTGCCATGAAGACACTGCCAGTCATCTTGTTGAAAAGAAGGATCTCACTATGTAAATGCCTTTCTCTGGCTGAATACTAAGGTGTGTCTTGAACTACAGTTTTCAGCTCACTTTGAGATATTACTGGATTCGGGACTGTTCACAACAGCTGTATGGCAGATTTCTTGGACATAATTTCAACTGAAATAGCATTGCCTGTGAATTCTTGCATTCCCCTCAATCTGTATCATCCTATTCTGCTGAAAATCATCGGGGCCGCTCTCTGTATGACCATATGACCACTCCTCTACGTTTAACTCCTCCAGTTGAAGTTGTGCATTTAACTTTCTTTATGGACTGCGAATGGGTTTCAACTACCCTAAAGTGGCTACACAGAAGTGAAACATCCAGGCTTAGGTAGTAGTTAGGCTCCCTCTATAGTCAGTATCAGATACCTATCTTAGAAGGAGACAATTTTCTTTTGGAATGACCTGTCTGGCTACAGAGATGAGCAGTCCTTTATGAATACTGAAGATTTTATAAAGCAAAAAGACACATCTAGCTCATAATATAGTAGTATATACTAGTAACTCGCCAACCTAAAATATTAAGGTACTAAAGGTACTAACTATAACTTTCAGCCTGCAATATGCTAAGAGGTATGTGATCCTATTGACTTCTTTAGGATAGAAGGCAAAAATGCATTTCTCTGGTATATGCCATTATTATAACTGAGCTTTTTATTAATTTTTTTTTTTTTTTTTAAAAAAGGTCTTATTTGGGGACAGAATTATTACAATACATTACAATACATTATTACTGATATTCAAGCACAGAAGAACTGCAGGTTGGTTAAATCAAAATCACAGAATAGATTGGTTTGGAAGAAACATCAAAGATCATTCAGTTCCAACAGTTGCCACTCACCAGATCAAGCTGCCCAGGGCCTCGTCCAACCTGGCCTTGAATGCCTCCAGGGGTGGAGCATCCACAGCTTCTCTGGGCAACCTGTTTCGGTGCCTTACCACCCTCTGAGGAGAAAATTTCCGAACATCTAACCTAAATCTCATCTCTTATTTTAAAACCATTCCCCCTTGTCCTATCATTATCAGACTGTGTAAAAAGTCAGTCTCTTTTAAGCTCTCTTTAAGTGTTGGAAAAGCACAAGTAGGTCTCCCTGGAGACTTCTCTTTTCCAGGCTGAACAACCCTGACTCTCTCAGCCTTTCTTCATAGGAGAGCTGCTCCAGTCCTCTGATTATCTCTGTGACCCACACCAACAAGTCCACATCTTCCTTGTGTTGGGGGCCCCAGACCTGCACACAGTACTGCAGGTGGGGCCTCACAAGGGCAGTGCAAAGGGTGACAATCACCTCCTTTGCCTGACTGGTGACTCCTCCTTTGGTGTAACTGAAGATACTGCTTACATTCTGGTCTGCAAGTGCACGCTGCTGGCTCATACCCTGCTTTTCACCCACCAGAATCTCCAAGTCCTTCTCTGTAGGGCTGCTCTCAAGGAGTTCTCATTGAGAAAATGTGTACAGGTTGAAGTCTATACACAAATCTGGAATTGCCCCAGAACAAGTTCAACACCTTGTATCGGGCCTTACTGAACTGTGTTGTGTTTTCCTGGGTCTGCTTTTCAAGCCTATACCCATGCCTCTGAGTGACATACATTCCTTCTATTGTGTCAACTGAACCACCCAGCTTGGTCATCAGCAATCTTGTTGAGGATGCACTCAATCCCACTATGCAGGTAACTGATAAAGATATAAAAGAGCACTTATTCCAAAGCAAACTCTTGGAGGACACCATCTGCTACTGGCTTTTACATGGAGTTTGAGGTGTTGGCCAAAACTCTCTGACTGCAATCATTCAAACAATTTCTTATCCACTGAATAGGCCACTTTTCCAATCCATATCTTCCTAATTTAGAAAAAAGAATGTAATGTGGAACCATCAAAGGCCTTGCAGAAGTCCAGGCAGATGACATCGTTTGCTCTTCTTTTGTATATTGATACAATCAATCCATCTTAGAAGGCCATCAGTTTGGTCAAGCATGAAAGCCTTAGCACACATTCCAGGAGAATCTGTTCCATGATCTTCCCAGACCACAGATGTGATCCTCACCAGCCTGTATTTTCCTGGATCTTCCTTTCTACCTTTCTTAAAAATGGGAGTGTTGTTTCACTTTTTCCACTCACCAGAGACTTCACCCAATAGCCACTTTTTTTTTTCTTTTTTCTTTTTTCCTGACCAGGATACTTGTGGAATCCCTTCTTGTTATTTTTCATATCCGATGTCAAATTCAATTCACTTAAAGATGCACTGCAAGTATACACAAGACTGTAGCCTTGATCACTCTCTATCTCTCTCGGTTGCTAGCACAGTTACACCAATCTAATAGCAGATGCTGGGCAGCTGTGACCACATCATCACATACAACAGCAGACAGCAGAAATGGTAACTAATAGTAAATATGATCTGGGAAGCAGATGACTTCAATGGACCAATTCCAGAATAACAAATTATTCCAAGTAACCAGTTTTAAAAGGCCTTAATTGAAATTACTGATTTTTGTTAATGATTCAAATTGACATAATGCAAATATTGAAGGACGTAAATACGTAAGCAATGCAGTTGCATAAAATAAAAAGAAAAAAAAATGCGGTAATATTTTGAAATTTTTAGGTGTGCCATGATGTAAAAAAAAAAAAACCAACATATTTCTAATAGATAGTATTTACATATGAAATAGTGCTAGTGCACTGAAACAAGCTGCCCAGTAAAGTAGAGGAGTCAGTGTCTCTGGAAGTTTTCAAGAAAAAGGTAGATATGAAACTTAGGGATGTGATGGGCATGGTGGTGGTGGCCTGACAGTAGGACTAGATGATGTTAGTGATCCTTTCCAATTTTAATGATTCAAAGATTCCATGGTAGAAATGGAGCATCTATTGTATCTTCAGGTGGGAAGATGTGTGTGAACATAAGACAGACAAATACTAACTTTTGTTGTCTCTACTGCAAGAGATTTCTTCTCAGTTCTTCTATTCAAATATGGCAAATGAATGTACTTAATTTATCATGCTTGGTCAAGCCTTAGTTTTTTATTGTGGTTTACCTTAGCAGATATGTTGTCACTTCTAGTTGTATAAATAATAAATTCATTTCCTCATTCACCTTTGACTTGTGCCTGTTCCCTGTGAATCATCTCCCACTTGTATCTTTTTTTTGGCCTAAGAATAAACCCATTAATTTATACAACATTTAACAAAAACATTTCCAGAAGTCTGTTACCATTATTATCTTCCCCTCTAGTGAACTCAGTACTTGTTTGTACAGCACGTACTGCATAAACTCTATAAGGTGTCAAATACAAAAGCTTCTTGGCTTCAGAATAAAATCTGTAACTGAGTATCTAATCAGAGTGGTCTTTCTCATTCCAAGCTGGTAAATACTGGCTTGTCTTAGAGCTCAGTAAAGAACACTTGTTTTTTCAGGTGCACACTTTGTGGATATGTTTGTAAATCTGGCTTCTGGATTGTTTGGAAGGTGGTGCTGTGTATGACCAAGGAAGGAAAGCATTTCAGTGATCAGAGGTGAATACAGATAGAAATGTTTTCACTGACTGCTTAAAAGCCAAAGCATTTGACTGCAATTGAGAAAAGTATGCCTTGTACCTACATAGTACAAATTGCAGATTTCAAAATTGGTATTTTGTGAAGTCTGAAAGAGTTTCTGTAATATTTTAGAGGATTTTAGAACAAAACAATTTGCACATTCTGAGAATGAAAACATGCTTAAATGGTTATGGGAAATATTCTCTTGAAAATGTTATCTTGCCAGCTCTTCCAGTCCTTCAGCACATCTGAAGGACCAATTTCAATAAATACCAATTTCAGTATGTCCAAGGACCTAAATACAGAGACTATTTCTAGGCACAGCTTTGTTTGCTACTGAGATTATACTGCCAGCTATAGCCAAATGGTAAATTCAACCCCAGATCAATGATAATTCTACAAGATGCAGGTAATTCAGCAGAGGCCACCTGTGAGTAGGGCAGAGGAATTGAGCTGATACAACAGCTACAGTATGCTTCCCAGTAACTGAACTGGAGATGGTCTCTACTTTTAGAATTAAGGAAAAGTTAGTCTGCCTTGACTTGATGGTCCCTTAGAACAGCATGCTTAAGTTTATTCAGTTTCCTCAGCCAGCTGACCACAGTAGTGTGGCATGGACCACATCAGCGCCTCCAACCTCCTGCATGTGAGCCCAGTTGCCCACTGGATATATAGAAGCCACTGCACATGTCTACATTACATCAGCATTTAGGATTTCTGGAATAAATTGTATCAAGATGCCTGAACCCAGTTTGCATCAGATTTGTGCACAATTACAGGTGTAAAACCAAGTATTTTCACATATCTGCTAAGAATCTGACATGCTGAGAGAACATTATCACACTTGGAACTCTTTGGGAAAAAAAGGCCCCCAAAACCTGATCCTGCAGAAGTTTTTAACCCTAGCTTAATCCCAAGTGTGTGTATAAAACAATTGGTTTTGGAAATTTTGAAATTGGACTTTAGATGTTTGTTTAAATGTTTTCCTGGAAGGATCACTGGGGTCTGCAAGACAGAGCCTTTTCATATATCCCAATGACATTTCTCTGTTAGATCTCTCAATGACATTTTAAGAGCAGCTCACTAAGATTTGATATCAAGGCCTATGATGAATGGACAAATTTGCAAAAGTTTTAGGTAGGGAGTACTTGAAAAAATCTGATAGTTTCCTGACAATATTCTTCTATGGTATTGAAACAAAACTATTTGTTGGGTGTAGGATGAATATTAAATAAATACGGTAGTCTGGCCAACCCAGAGATGTGGATATCCTTGAATAACCTTTGACAGCACTCACAACTGTTCTTTAGAGAATCAGATAGGTATGTCAAGGGCCTTAGTTTTGCTCATATTGGGCCTCCTCCAAGATACCATTTCTAGACTTCTGAATCAATGAGGCCCCTGCTCACTGGAGAGTATGGTAACAGCACAATGTGCTTGGGCCTCCAGAGCCACTCTTCCAGTCAGGAATTGCATTTGTGGCAATCAGGATGAGAGAATGAAAGACAAAATAAATTGCCTAAGGAAATAATCTATAAGAAGACAGTAAGGAAAACCATAGATTCTTCCTTCCTTCCTTCCTCCTCCCTCCTTTCCTCCATTCTTCCCTCCTTCCCTCCCTCCCTCCCTCCCTCCCACTCTCCCTCCCTCCCACCCTCCCTTCCTCCTTTCCTTCCTTCCTTCCTTCCTTCCTTCCTTCCTTCCTTCCTTCCTTCCTTCCTTCCTTCCTCTCTTTCTTTTATGCTTCTTTTTAATAAAGATGGGGAAAGACAGAAAACAATGTAAGTATCCAAAGAGGTGGACACAGAATATGTCCATTATGCTCAGCTCTGATGTAGAAAGCAGTTTTAATTAGCTAATAAAACTTCACTGCAGTCATTTCTACCAGAACACTGACTAGGAGAAAATCATAACACACATTCCCTTCTGTGTGTTTTTTTTCTTCATATGTCCTTCGTTCAGTACAAGGGGTCCAGTCCCTGAAGTCAACTGACATGTCAAATTAACAAGAACAATCCATGACATTTCAAGTAATGCTGTCACAAGGTTAACTTGCTTTTCACTGCTCTGAAGAGAGAAAGGCTGCAGTAAAAAAAAAAAAAAAAAGAAAAGCAGATAATTAAATCAACTGCCATATGTTGCCATCCCTCTAAATGGGATAAAGGAGGAATACAACCAATATATTTCCTGAAGAGTTTAAATGCTCTGCCATTTATATAGGCACTCTAACTCTTATCATGTGGTACAACAACAGGAAAAGGGAAAGGAGAAAAAATGTACTTAGCCCAGTCTGGTGCTATGCTAGACCTAGCAACCTGCCTTTATTTCTCCATACGTGTTTTATCTGTGTGATAACAGTCATACTGGCTGTGTGGTCATGAGTCTGACAGGCAAAAGCTCCAAATGCATTATAGAGTTCCGTAAATCAGAAGTAATGCATTATAGATCAACATGAAAACTAAAAGCAATCTGTATCCTATTATTTAGCCATATTTTACAGGCTTAGTTCAAGTGAAATGCTGCTTATATGTAATGTGCTGGGAAAATAGTATAACAAATGTCTACTGCATTATATCAAATCAAAACATGTTAGAGTTCAGTAGCACATAGCACATGACAGATTAAGATGGGAGTTAATTATGTCAAAAAATATTGATAGAGAGGATAACGAAGAAGAAACCAAAAGTTGGTAGTCCTAGTGCAGCAGAGTGCTACTCACAAATGGAGTTTTATTTAGGTGACTCTTAGATACAGAATCCAGCATTTCGATGTGAGAAAAATGCATCTTAATTTAAGGTTTGGCTAAGGAGACTATATTCAAATTATATGATGGCAAATACCAGCTGTGTTTCATACAAAGAAATCCTAGTAGCATAACCTTCCTGTAGGAAGAACAAACAATATACCACAGAGGATTAAGTAAGAGAAACCTGAAATGAAAGCATAATTCCACGAATAGACCCTTTAGTCAGAGATTACAATAAGATGTCAGCTGGCTCAATGGTGTAGGTCATCCACTTCTTCCAGTAAACCTCCTAATTCAATTTGTTGTCTACAGACAAGTATTTTTATTCAGGGGTCACTACAGGAAACTGAAAACTCTACCTGAATTGAATTTACATTACTTGATTATACTATTCTGGTAGGTGTGTAGTTCTAAGTAAATAAGTAGACTTCAGTGCACAGGATTCACATGAATCACCTCCAAAATATACAAGGAGTATCTTAAAAGCATGCAGTCCCCTTCCCCCATAGCATCATGTTTGATTTCCCAGCTAAAATTTGGCAGGTATTGAACATCTGTATTTATGAGCTGTGATTTAAAAATTGGTGGAGATCAGTTACAATTTTCTGCTTCTTTAGCTTTTTTCTTTTTTTTTTTTTTTTTCTCCTTTAGATATTCAAGTGAGAGAACTTGGCTAAAGAAAGCAAGAATTTTAAACGCTGTACTTTGGACTGCCTGGTCAATAATAGTACCAAGTTCAAATATTTCCCATCTGGCCTTCAATCCCAGCTTGCACGCTTAGATGATTTTAGACTTTTTGGCTCTCAGCTATGTGGTTCAAACAAGCCCACTCATTTCAACATTTTTTCTCAGTCCTCACTAGCACTGTTCCTACCCTTGGGATCTTGTTCATTTAGGTTAAATCGTGTGCTGCAAGAATAATGGATGGGAAGATGGAGGGCATATGTATTACAAGGTGTAGCACAAGCTTATTTTTTCCTATCTCTTAGATTGCTCTGAAGGTTATCTAAAGCCTGTATCTAAAGCCTGAATGTTGCCTTACTTCCTAACAATATGGATGTCAAATATGTTGGACAATCAGTAGCAGAAATATGAGCATAAGTTCAGTTGCCATTGCAGCTCCAAGGCACTTAGCACTTCCATTGCTTGATTGATATAGTCAGTGACACGGCAATGCCAATATGTTTAATACTCTGAACCAATGGCATGAAAAACTTTTTTCTCAACCTTTCCTTCAAGTTTTCCCTTCTTCAGCAGCTGTTGCTAGGCCAGCTGCCTTAAAATGTATCCTGAGTATCAATTGGCCTGTTTTGCTGAAATTGATAATTTTTAAGCTCTCAGAGAACCCTGTAAGACATTACTCAGCTGAAAGACCCATCATCCTCCCAGTGATGGAGGTGACAGCAGACCCAAGGAGTGGGTCCCTTGCAGCTGTCATCTGACAGCTGTGCAAGTCAGCTGAGGAAACTGGAACCAATCTGAGCTCAGGAAGGAGGTGATAAGCTTGGGGGTTGATAACAAACCTATGTTTCATTCACTGAGAGGTGGCTGCAGGGGAAATGGCACTGGGGGCTTTGGTATCAGACTGCTGGTTCTTTTGTTCTCTTGGAGAGCTGAGGACATAATCTGTGGCTGCTATGAATCTTGTGAAAGGCATCTGTTACCACCCTCCTCAAGGCTATCCAGGTAGGTGTTTGGAGGCCCTGCTATATAGGTAAAGAAAGCTGGAAGGGGTATGTTAGGCTGTGTAAAACTGCAGGTGGTACCTTAATATATACTCCTTCCTAAGCACTCTGAGCTCTATCCTAAATGTAGAGTGTTTGTGCCCCTCCTGTGGGAAAGCTGTTAAATTGTTTCAGAGACAGCAGAGGAAGACATGCTTGTGTGAGCATCAGCTTCTACATATGCAAAGAGAGGTATTGGAGCAGTATTGCCAGTTGACTGGCTTGTTCAGAATAAGCAAGAATGTTTGCTATGAGTATTTCACTAAGTTATGAAAGTCTTTTTCTGAAGGTGAGACAATTCTTTCTGCTGTGTCAATGTAGGGATTGAATATTATTTATCGAAGACTGCAATGTGGCAAGAGGTTTCTTCTCTCTTCTCAGAAGTTTGAACAATACAGATATGTAATATAATCTTCCTTCTTCTGGATGGGATGAGTCCTCTATGTCATTTTAAATCAGAAAGTTTACACTTGTTAAGTTTCACATTAAACCTGCTTCAAATTAACTCACACTCTGAAGGTAAATATATATTAAAAAAAAAAAAGTTTGCAAACTTCTAAGAACCTTTGTATCTGAGTCTGTGTCTGAATAGTTACAGGAGACATGCCTGACTTCAGCTGGGCAGATACAGAACTGAGCCTAGGCTGTCAACTGATCATTGGCAACATCAACCTCAAAAGTGATTTCACCATGATGTTTCTATCTGTACTTTTCTAAAATTAGCAAAGAGTTCTGCTACATAGCCCTAGCTGCACGCTTTTTTATTCCAGCTTTAGTAACTGTCTGCTTTTAAACAAAATTAAATGATTAATTCATGCTTTCTGCTTAGTTTCATGAATGCACATTTCTTTACTCCTTCAAAATCATTAACAGTGAGGAGAAGAAAAAGCACTATAAATTCTTGGATGCCAAAAGAAAAACTTTTTTTTTTTTTTTTTGCCAGCTTTCATTTAGGTTAAATTTGAATGACTGAATAACTAAATACCATTGGGGAACACACAGGTATATCGGAGATCAGTGACTTTTTTTTTTTTTTTCCCCAACATCCACTAACAACTCTGTAGATGCTGCAAATAAAGAGCCTTACAAGGCCAGCTGGCACGTCACAAGGCTCCTGGTGCCATGTCCTCTGCTGCCCTTTTGCTGCACTCCTGTTTCCTCTGAGTGAGCAAGCTGGTTTCTCTTCCGCTCTCCCAGTGATGTGGGTGAGGGACATATTCTCTTTTTTTTTTTTCTCACCTCCTCCCTCCTGCTGGAAGCTGTAAGTGGATGATGATACACAAAGTTCTGGCAAATAGGTTGTGTTGGCTCTTCTGGACTGCTTTTCCCATCCTCTCCCTGCAGTGCCATGGTTTTCTTCTCATGCCTTTGTTCACAGGCAGCAGTTGCTCACTTGAAGCCACTCGGAGCAGGATCCTTCTTGTGCATCCATGCTCAGATCACACCTGTAGTGTTTTTGGTAATTGCTAACTTAGCAGTTTAAGTGGCTCTTCATCAGGCATTTAACAAGGGGATAGAAGGTTGCTAATTCTTTTCTACATACTTTTTATATGAGGCTTTAGAGGACATTTGTGTTCATTTTCAACTACATAGTATTACTTTTGCTGCTACCAACTGCGTGATGTTAGAGTTGATTTTGATGCTGCCAGACGAATGCTTGAGATTTGTCTTATAATACACATAGGTCACTCCAGAAGTAATAAGTCCTATTTGCATGAAAATTACAGCAGATACAAATAACACAATAACACTATTTGGTAGAACAAATTCTCAACAACAAAACACTGTTCTTCAACAAAGTCACAACCATCAGCTATGAACAAGAGATTGCATGCTACGCTTGCCAAAATCTGCATGACCATCCACAATGTTTTTCATGTCACTGTCACTGCTGCTGAAGCCCACTACACCACCTACTGTCTCACTGTACTCAAATCCACTGTTTGGTATCCATAATGTTTCAGCAAGTGTCAATGAATGTCAATGGGTGCCATTTTTTCAGCATGAAGGAATTCAGTGACACGCCTCTGCTTCATACTCACTTTCACGTCAGATGCCATTCTGTCAGACTGTCCCTCTGATGCCATCTGACACACAGCAACAAAATGTAATAGAATATTGGTAGGAAGGTTCAGCCTCTGCTGCCATACCACCAACATCCGCCTATGATGTCATGGGCCAACATAATAAAATAGGAAGCATTATTTTTGGATTGGCCCTCATATAATTGAGGGTGGATGTTAGGAATAATTTCTTTTCAGAAAGTGTGGTCAGGCATTGGAACAGGCTGCCCAGGGATGTGGTGGAACTACCATCCCTTAAGATGCTTGAGGAAAGGATAGATGTATTTCTTAGGAACATAGGAGCAATACTGGAGGTAGGTGAACAATTGGACTAGATGATTTAGATGATTTTTTTCAATGATTCTATTATTCTGTGAAATCTCCTCTGAATTACTGTAATACTGCTGTTAACAGGCAGACTGAGTTGTGATAGGATTCATTTAAATTACTGAACGAGTGTGTATGTCTTTTTAGCATTGTAGTAAGTCATAACCCTTGACTTAATTAAACAATATTTTGTTACATGTTTTGGTTCAAGCATTATTTAGAAATGGAGAATTGCCCACTTTCTCTAGCTGCAACTCTTTCCTTCTGTTTTAAATGAGTATATGTAAATAAACTCTAATGTAATTAACTAAACATAACTTCCGTAGACTTTGGTGCAGTGGTTATGTCATATGCTTTGAATTTAGGAGTGGGGGTGATAAGACATGGGATCATGTGTTTGGTTTTGTAGACTCAGTCCAGACATGAAATTTTTAAGAATTCATCTGGTTCACACTAGCATTCCTTGTCACTTCAGAGAGCAAAGACTTTATTGTAAAGCTTACGTAAGACAAATCAATTCCAGCTCGCGCCTTATTTCTGAAAGGAACAAATCTTGTGTGACTGTTCCCCATTTTACAGTTCAGTAACAAAACGAGGAACAGCTCTGCAAAAAGGGTAGGGCCAGATGGCCAAGAGGCTTTCTCATCCCTCCTTCCTTGTCCCAGTCCTGGCACTTATTTAGCCATAGAGAAGCCGAAAGCACTTTTCTCCAGGTAATCTGCTGCAGGCTTTCTCTGCTTTACACAACACAGGTAAATATAAGCCTTACAAAGTGAACAAGCTTTGTTTCCCTTTCCATCTATTATGTAATAAATAAGAGATGAAAATTACCAAGGCACTGCTATAAACATGGGCAAGCTGGTAGAAGTGGGTGTTACATTCCCTCCTTGGCCATGGGAAATTTCAGGGCTGGAGAAGAGGCCAGGTAGGATGACCCTGTAGCTTCTATGTAGTAATTCCTCAGTTAAGATGTCTGGGACAGCTTCAAGGTCGGTGGGGATTTGTATTACCACTGACAAACAGACTGTCACATGGCCAGCCTAAGTAGAGCAAGTCCTTCAGCTTGTTCAATTTTGATTCTTGCCCCACAGCACTTTCAAGGGTACCAGAGGGCATGAACACAAGTTTGACTGAAATGAAATTACTCATGACAAATGTCATCATCATTTTGCAAGAAGTTCTAATTTTCATAAAGCTGACTTCTGTATTGAAAAAATAGAAACAAGACAACTCCACACCTGACCTGTTCTTGCCCAGAATGCTTGGATCACTTTACTTACTGTTTATGGCAGGAAATGGAACTGACAGGTTCTTCCTGCCATCCAAAACAAATAAATTCTTTTTTTTTTTTTTTTTTCCTAGAAATCTTTTCTGCTGTAAGTATTGCTGATATTTCTGTCTATGATTCAGGATTATTTTTTTTTTTAATTATGATTATAGTAGAATTTTCTTGTTTCTCAGCAGTGTGAATGACAAACTCCAACCCCAAAAAGAAGAGTTATTGAAAAACTGTGTAGGAGTTTCCATTAAAATATACTTACATGAAGCCTCCTTCTTTACTTAATCTAAATTCTCATAATTTTCTTATTGCTGCAGTTTACTGATTCTATCAGCCTTGGTGATACCTACCTTCAATTCCTGAGGCTTCTTTAGGTTCATTCTAATGCACATGATGAATTCTCTATCTAGTTATAAACACCTGCTTGATAAATGATATACAAGAATGCAAGAATAATACAAGAAAATACACTGTGGACTCAGCTATGCAACAAACCTGTCAAGCTTGAGCACTTAAATTTGCTCAGTTGAAGATTTATATATAATCAGGAAAATGTATTGCATATATTTTCTAACTTTCTAATGAAAAAATAATAATAATAATACCTGTATAACTTTTATCTAGTTTTTGAGTTTTTGTGTTTGGGAGAAGAACTGAGTATCCTTTGAATTCTCATTTGATATCAGGAGGTGAAAAAGAAAGATTTCTTGAGTGCTTTTCTTCAATTTACAGAAACAGGCAGTACAACTGAATTAAAGCATTATGGGATTTCTCATTGAAAGCCACTGTCAGTAAGCAGTCATCAGTTCTGCCCTAAGAAATAAACCATAGATGTCTCCTTGTCAACAATATCAATTGTGAACATAAGC